CGCCACTGCCGCCCCCCGCCGCCCCTTCCGCTATCCGTTTAAAGGGGCCCGCGGGAGGCACCCGGAGGGGCAGGGCCTAGCTGCCAAGCGTGGCGGGGTTACATTGAGACTCTAGCGTTCGTTCCTTTAAGCCTCAGATTCGTTTTCTTTCTTTCTCTCTGGGTGGCCTCTGCCTCTCACAGACCTATTTTTGCATTTGTAAAACAATTGCACTGAGGAAAGATGAAATGGGTTGGTCTAAGTTTGGGCTGTCCACAGCGTCCAGCTCTGAGTTCCAGACAAAAACTGGTGGGAGGGAAGTCCAGCCGACCTGAATTGTACGGCGTACCACCCACCCCTGCTGTACCTCTCTGGGAAAAATTACTGGGCACCTCTGAGGCCCCCAAACCTTTCCACCTCTGCACAGAGGATGATGACACCTGCTCACAGAGGTGTTTCCTAGGGGTCAAATGAGCAAACTGCACCTAGTAAGGGCTCATCCACCGGCTGAAAGCCGTAAGGGTTGGCAGGCAGCTGTTGTCTTTGCTCACATCTTTCGCTTGTGTTTCTCTCAAGCTGCGTTCGCGTTCCCGTGGGCTAGGTCCATCGGGGACACGATGAGCTGTCCGGAGGTAGACTGTGCCCTGTGACTTGGGCCCAAGGCAGCAGTGCTGATTGTCCTTCCTTCCCAACCTCAGTCCCTCAGAAATACGAGCAGCTCCCTCTGCGATTGCTCGGTTGGTGGGAAGCAGTTAAATATCAGGAAAAACTCATTCTGAATGTCCCCCAGGTCCCCCAGTTTGTTACTGGCCCCTTCATTCAGGGCCGGAAAAGACCTACGGAGGAAGGTGGAGGCTCATGTTCAAAGAACAGGTCCAGTAGGCAGATTCTTTGTCTCCAATAGAAGCCTCATACCTGTTCCTCATGAGGACTGGAAGAAAGCAGTGCAGCAGGGATGGGGTGGCCGGGGGCAGTGGACAAACACTGCAGCGTGCACTGAAGCTGACCAGTCGCCTCCTTGCAGTCTCCTCCATTCTCCTCTCTTCACTCACTCAAGCGGCCTGATGCTCTTAGGAGCAAGAGAGAAGGAAATCTCGGGCAGAACTAGAAACCTAGTCCCTTCTTTACAAAATGTGATCCACAGACGAGCTACTTGGGCATCACAGAGCAGATTCTCATGCCCATCCCTGACCTACTGAATCAGAGGTGCACTTGGCACGATCTCCAAAGGCAACTAATGCCTGGCACAGAGTCCATGCTAGATAGGGTTGACTGGTGTGACTGTTTTTGCATGTGGCCAAAGTGACCAGTGTTTGGACACTGGACCTATGGGTGCTCAGAGTAAAAGCTGTCTTTCCCTGCTGCCCTGGCAGCTAAGTGTGACTATGAGACTGAGTTGTGGCCTTTAAGATGCAAGGGAAAGTGTCATGTGGTGGCTTCAGGAATATGTACTTTTCCCCTCCGTGTCCATTTCTCCCTCTGGCTGCACAGAATGCCGATGTCACCATTCTGGGCCATGAGATGAGAAAGCCACACAGAGGACAAGATGGAAGGTACCTGAGTCTCTGTCACTGAGTGGTAGCACACCTATCTAGACTTGTAGACAAGAGAGAAATCAACATCTGCCTTATTGAAGCTACTGTTATTTTGGATTTTCACTTATCCTTGAACCCATAGCTAATACTATGGGTTCAGAAAGTACCCAACCCAGGGGCTGGGGATTTAGCTCAGTAGTTCCACTGCTTGTCTTGCAAGCACAAGGTCCAGAGTTTGATCCCTGGTACCAAAAAAAAAAAAAAAAAAAAAAAAAAAAAAAAAAAAAAAAAAAAAAAAAAAAAAAAAAAAAAAAGTACCCATCCTAGTTAATTACTTAAATGCTAAAATACTACACATGGAATAAGACAGTTCCCTCTTATATGATCTTGCTATAGGTTTCCTCGGGAGAACTTAGAATAAATTTGGTGGTTTTTTTTTGTTTGTTTGTTTTGTTTTGTTTTGTTGGTACCAGAGATAGAACTCAGGACATTGTGCTTTCAAAGCAGGGGCAGAATCACTGAGCTAAATCCCCGGCACTTGGCATAAATTTATCAGATTATTATTCATTGGCTGGCTCCTCCTTCCCTGCCTTCAGTGGAAGCTCCCTGAGGAAGGGTGTGTGTCTGCTCTTATCCCCACACCCAGTCAGGGCCTGTTCACGGAGAGGGCACAGTGACACATGCTGGAAGCAGAGTGTTGGTGGGGCAGGCCTTTCCCTAGAACACGGTATGGGGGCAGGGCTGACACATGGCAAAGATCTCTGTAGGGACTGCTGAGGTCAGGTTCATTCCCCCAAGAAGCCGTAGGAAATGGAGCTAAGGAAGTCTGTTTGCATGCTGCCGCGCATAAGAACACTCTGGACCCCTTTGAGCCAGGGAATGGTGCAGTGACAATTGTATTGGAGGATTATTAATCTTGCAGGACTCTGCAGTAACCAGCCTCCAGGGGACCTTGCCTCTGGGCATCCCCTTGCCTTTGGGTAATCACTTCCTACAACGAGCAGGCTGATCTGTGTAATCGCCAGGACACTGCAGAAATAACAGTGTCTGACTCCTCATTCTAGATCACAAAAGACATTATGCCTTCTGTCATAAGATGGCAATGATCCTCTTTATTATTATTATTAATTATTATTATTATTATTTAAAAAAAATTTTTTGGTACCAGGGATTGAACTTGGGACCTTGTGCTTTCGAGGAAGGTGGCGGAACCACTGAGCTAAATCCCCGGTCCCATTATACCTTCTGTTTAGGCTCTCTTGCCTCATTTGTTTGGGGAGAAGCCCAACTGCCATGTCCAGAGTGTGCTTAACCATGATTTTAGTAGAGGGGTTCATGAGGCTAGACACTGAGGCCACTGGCAATCGGCCATGTGACACAGCCACCAGGGAAGCACATCCTTTGCCCAGATTGAGTCCCCAAAGTTGCCCTGAAACCAGCTTACTACAGCCTTATGAGAACCCTGAGCTGGACTAGCTCAGCTGCTTTTAAATTCCTGACCCATAGAAACTGTAAGTTAATAAATGTTTATTTTAAGCCACTAAGCTACTAAATTGTTTGCAATGATGTTGTAATTTGCGTCTTACTCTGTTCTTGGCAACAGCTTACTGCTCTCAGCAAGCTGGTACAGAAGGTTGACGAATATTTAAAAAAATTGAACTACTAAATTGTGGTTTAATCAATTGCATATCAGTTGATAACTAACAGGCTCTCTCCTTGTTATTATTATTATTTTTCCTACTAACACCTTCTTCCTTCTTTCCTTCCTGCTTTTCTCCCAACTAGCCTGGGGATATAGAGGCTACTTTTCAGAAAACTCTCCAGCTGAGTGACCTAGACAAGTTGTTTAACTAGCTGCATTCTGGGTATGAAATGAAGGATAAGAATACCTTGCCTGTGGCCGGTAGCCTCTGAGAATGTGTGATGACTCTACATCCTGGTATTGATACTCTCTCATAATGCCCTCCTTGTGAGTGTGGGCTGGACCTATTGCCTTGCTTCTGTTGAGCAGTGTGGTGGATGATGGGCATGTTCCCTCTAAGATTATATTATAAAGTCTGACTTCTGTGTTGTACATTCTGTCTTGGGTCAGTCGCTCAGCAGCAGCAGCTACCATGTGGTGAAATGCCCCTGGCAGAAGCCATGTGAGGGAGCTTGCAAGTGAATCTGCTATGCCTGATAACAGCCACAGGACTGTGCTTGGAAACGGGATGTCTGCAGCCCTGGTGGACAGCTTGATTGCAACCTCAGGACACACTTTGGCCCAGAGGTCCTCAGCTGAGGTGCATCTGGATGCTGGGAGATGTGAACGTGTCTTGTTTTAAGCCTCCAAGTTTAGGAAAATTGCTGATGTGTCAAGAGGCAGCAACCACTGCCCTAGAAGCTGGTTGTGAAGATGACATAGTATGCTTAATGCTTAATGGGTAGTAGGTATCAATTAAAGCTAGCTTAATGAATCAATCAATAAATGAAACAATGTCCTACAATGTAGAAGATTTACTGAATCCATGTCTTCAGGCCCTTCTACCCACCTCTGCCAAAAAATGTCCCTGAGAGTTGTTTAAAGCTGGAAAAATCTGGGTCAGATTTGTTTTTCTGTTACGGGAGACTGGTTTCTGTTCCGTGGGTACGACTGCTTTAGCCATGATCTGGATGAAGAAGGATTACAAAATAATAATCCTTTGTCAACTCAGAGATGGCTTGGGAACACTGGCCTTGTAATAAGCAGGTCTCAGAAGCTGTGACTCCCTTTCTTGCTCTGTGAAAGTCTCCTGACCAATCGGAAGACAGTCATTGATTCACTATACAATTATTCACTAAACACCACATTGCAGCAGGTGCTGTGGATGTAGCAATAGATATGATGTAGCTCTGATTTTAAGAAACAGGGAAGGAGGTAAGCAAAAGCTTGGTGAAAAATTCAGACAGGAGCACCAATGCCTGGTGTAGTTAGCTCAGGAAGCACCAAGGCCTGGGAGTCAGGGAGTGCGGTGGGGTGGCTAATTCCAGCCATGGGGACAAGTTGGTCTGACCTCTTTCAGTTGAAAGTGACAGATATCATCTCAAAGCACTATCACGGGAAAGATAAAAAAAAAAAAAGGAGCAGACATAGATATGGGTTTCAGGCACAGTGGAATCCAGATGCTTCAACAGTTGCATCAGAAATCTGTCCCTATCCCCCAGCTCATCTCTTTCTTCTGGTCATATCTCAAGGTGGGCCTTCCCCCTATGCTGGCAGAATGTAGGTCCAGGCTCACGTTTTCCAGCCCAGCAACGCCCACAGATAAAGATCACTTCTTTCTTAATACCTCTTACAAAGGCTCCTGGGCTCACCCTCAAGGCCTAGCTTCCATCATAGCCTTGAACAGTAGCTCCAGGGGAACGGCCAGGTCCATCAGCCCCTAGACCCTGGAATGGGGAGTCAGCCTCACTGGACGTGCACAGACTCAGATGGGAGAAGAGTGGTTCCTTCAGGCGGAGTCCAAGCAGAGAAGGCAGAAAGGATAATGGAAGGCTAAATCATCAGGAGTTTGGGACGGGAAGTCAGAGAAGGCTTCCAAGAGGAAGAAGAGTCTGAGCCAAGATACAAAGAACAAGTAGGAATTGGTCAGGGGGAGAGAGGCATGATGTGTGCATTTGTTATCTATTGTCATGTAATACATTATTCCAAACTTGAAACTTTAAGACCACAAATATGCCTTGTCTCATAGTGTCTAAGGGTCAGAAATGGGGGAGCAGCTTAGCCAGGTAGCTCTGGCTGGGTAAAAGCTGCAGTCTGAAGGCAGCTGGAGCCTCAGGATTCCGGCTCCCTCACATGGTGATTGGCTGCAGGGTTTTGTTCTACCCATGTGGACTGCTCCATAGTGCTGCCCATGACATCACTTCCCTCAGTGTGAGTGCAGAGAGAGAGACTTCTAAAGTATCCTCTAAATCCAAGTGAATGGCCCCACTGGATAAGGATCCAGGCGAGAGGAGAGAGGTCAGCATGAAATGCCTGAGCTAACATTGAGCAGTAGAGGTAAGTAAGTGGAGGCTGGTCATAAAGACCACTGTGTGCTGTGTTCAAGATGTTGAACTTTCTTCCATAGGCAATTAGATCCCTGAACATTTTAAGTCAGGGTGTATGATAGTATTTTACTTTTGGAGTTTGAAGGAGCCCAAAAGCATAGCATCCCTTTTCCTGCCTGTGTTCTGAGCAAATGTGATTTCTATCTAGAGGGCAGGTGGGGTGGAGTTGGGGGCCATTCCAGGGTTGGTGAACCGTAGAATTTGGCAGACAGATCCAACCAAGCACAGGAAAGGCAGAGAAAAAAAAGCACAGGCCTCCCTGGAGAGGCACAGGGGAGGCAGGGCAGAACACAACTCCCTTCAGACAGCCTCCTCCTGCCCAGAAGGAGGAAGAGAGAAAACCTGGGCCCTGTGTCTCGGACCGGATACTGAACACAGCAGTTAGAATGCACCCATCTTCCTGGTGGGGCTCAGGGGGAAGCCCCAGGAGTGGGGAAACACACCTGCTCCAACAGTCTGCAGCTGTGAGAAGCCTGGCTCTAAACTAAAATCAAAGTGGATCAAATATCTAAGTATTAAAACAGAAATACTAAACTTGCTGGAAGATGGGTTAGGTAGAACTCTTAAGGCAAAGGAAAAGACTTTATGAACAAATTCTCAGTAGCATGGGAACTAGCACAGATAATCAACAACTGTGATTTCATCTTATTAAAAAGCTTCTTCACTGCAAGAGAAACCACCAACAGAGCTAAGAGACAACCTACAATGTAGGAAAAAATTTTTACTAGGTGTTCCTCAGACGAAGGTCTACTATCTAGAATATATAAAGAACTCAAAAAGATCAGGCCCCCAAATATAAAGACCTGATTAAAAAATGGTATCTGAAATGAACAGACATTTCTCAAACAAAGAAGTAAAAGCAGCAAATAAATATGAAAAAAATGCTCAATATCACTGGTCATTTGAGAGATGCAGATGAAAACAACACTGAGATTTCACCTTACCCCAGAAAGAATGGCTGCTACAAAGAAATCAACCAATAACAAATTCTGGTGGGCTTGTGTGTAGAAAGGAACCCCTCTCTATTGGTGGGAGTGCAGACTGGTGCAACCACTGTGGTGTTCAATATGGAGATACCTCAAAAAACTAGGATTGGAGGACCCATTTGACCCAGCTATTCTCCTGCTGAGTATCTTCCCAAAAGTATTAAAAGAATAATGACACAGTGATATATGTGCACCCGTGTTTATAGTGGCACAATTTATAATAGCTAAAACTTGGAAACAGCCCAATTGCCCATCAACTGGAGACTGGAAAGAAAATGTGGGTTTTTGTTTGTTTGTTTTTTGAGACAGAGTCTCACTATGTAGTTCAGATTGACCTGGAACTCACTATGTAGCCCGGGCTGGTCTCAAACTCACAGCGATCCTCCTGCCTGAGCCTCCGGAGTGCTTGGATTACAGGTGTGCGCCATCATGTCCGGCGAAGATGTGAGGTTTAAAAAAATATAAAATGTAGTACTACTCAGCCATAAAGAGTGACAAAGTCATTTATAGTTAAAAAGATGCACATTGAGGTCACACCTTTTTGTTTTGTTTTGTTTTTTTGAGACAGGGTCTCACTGTGTAGTTGAGACTGACCTGGAACTCACTATGTAGCACAGGCTGGTCTTGAACTCACAGTGATCCTCCTGCCTCAGCCTGCAGAGTGCTGGGATTATAGGTGTGCACCACTACACCTGGCTACATTTTCAAACATTACCTCTGTTTGATTATTTTTCTTCCCTTATTCTGTTTTTAATCTCTGCTAATTTTGCATAGTTTCTTTTGATCTATGAAGTGTGATGGGAAAAAGATGCTGTGTGCTTTTTCATTTTTTAAAATTTCATTATGATAAAAGACATACTGCCACGATTCCCCCTCAAACTATTCCTTCTTGCTTCAAACACACTTATCCCATCGTTCTGGTCACTTTCCAAAGCAGTTCTGGAAATCTTCTTTCATGAGTGTCTTTAATTGCACTATCATGCCTACCTGGGTGTCCTGAATTGATTAAAAATATTTACCTTTCATCATTATTTTGACTTTGGGGAAGATCCAGAAGTCACAGAGTGCCAGATCCAGTGATTGAGTCACATGTGGATGCACTGCAGGGTTTTTACAAGCCTGCCTTTCCATTGGATGGCACTCAATAGCAGCATTCGTTGTATTTTTGATCATGCCTTAACAACACTCACGAAAAAGGACTTCTAGAACTGCTTCGGAAAGCGGAAAGAAGGATGGGATGAGTGTTTTTGAAGCAATGAGGAGTATTTTAAGGGAGACCGATGACAGTAAATCTCTTATTGTAATAAACTTTAAAAATTTAAGCATTCACCATATTTTTTATCACCCATTGTGTTTCCCAGTCCTCAGATTCTCTCTTCAGATGTGCTTAATCTGCTGTTAAAACCTGTCCTTTGAACTATTAATTTTAATGACTGTATTTTTCAGTTCTGAAATGTGTACTTGATTCTTTTTCAAATATTCTGTGTTCCTGAGTCAGGTACCTTTTCTGTGTGCCTCCTGAGAAACTCTGCTTCTCTACCCTTCCCTGTGGGCTGGAAGGCTGACCTGCTCAGATAGACCTCTCAGCCTGTGGGGAGCCCCTGGGG